TCGACCTTCTTCATTGTATCCTCCAGTCTTATCGACAAATATTGACTTGGTCGGGGCTTTGCCGCTATCTCCAGTCAATTTGTCCTTGGCCGTATCCGGAATAGTAGGAACCGTAAAGAAATCATTTCGGTCCTTTTCTGGAAATTGGAAATAGGCTGCCGACCTTTTGTTGAAAGCCGTCCATTTCTTTGAATCGGCGATGCGTTGTATGCGATCCACTGGCATAGTTGGGAAAGCTGGATCCCGAGGTTCCTCTACGCCAGTCCGGTGTTTGAAAGAACAACGGGTGGTCTCTGGTTTACTGCTCTCTGGTAGTTGCAGTACCCGAACCATATCTCTTTGAACCAGCCTCAGCTGAGTCTCAAATGGCGAAAAATTTCCAGGGTCAGTGGCCTCATCATCCCCAGAGCGCTCATCTTTTGAGTGAGTGGAAGGGGGGTGAATATCATCGACATCTATGTCAGGAGCATCTTGAACAGAAGTGCCCAAATTCATAGATGGGTGTAAAGACATTCCCGCCTGTGATCTCGAGGGCGCCCAATCGCGGCCAGGAGTAGGTGGATTATCTGAGCAGACACTGATGGCAACCCCAGGATCTGGGGGCCCAGTGTGTTCCCCTCTCATCCCGCCCGAATTCGGCAGGATTGCGCCCGGATCCGGCTGAATTAAGCCTGGATCCGGCCGGATCGCGCCCGGATTCGGCTGGATTGGACCCGGATCCGGCCGGATCACACCCGGATCCAGCAGGATTAGACCCGGATTTTGGTCCGGAAATGTGGCCGCCGGGAGTGACCTCTGAGTCACCGCTGGGGCCGATCTCCATTGTTGTTGTTTAGTGAGGGCTGCTAGCGAAACGTTGATGTCCTGGTAAGCTTTTAGAAAGATTTCCGTGGATATACCTTTGTTTTTCTTTTTCCGATGCGTCGACTAACGGGGGGAATCCCCTGAAGAAGACGGCGCTGCCTTGTGTTTCCTTTTCTTACTTGGGTGACTTGATTCACTGGATGAAAACTCCGATAATATCCTGGGAATTCCGGAGCATTGATCAAAGAATGATGTTGACTGCGAGTCTGTGGCCCGAATTGGGGGAGGAGGCAAGTCAGTCACCGCGAGTCCTGCCCATTCCGCACGGGTGGAAGCAGGAAGCTCGGAGCGCGATGAACGCGCAGACGGGACCGGTGAGGATTGAATCCTTTTACCACTCCGTGACTGGTCGTCCCCGAGGATTGCTGGAGCCAGCAGACCGGGAGGACGAGGTGAAGAAATTCCCGTGAAACCACGGGAAATCGACGCCGGGTTGCTAGGTGACGCCGGGCGAGGCGGCCGAGGGAAGGGAACAGCCAGCGGCCGATATACCCACGAATATCTCGCCGCTATCTCGTTTGTCGCCGCACTGCCGAGATAGCTTAGGACGGGCGAGGGGCAGGGAACGACCTCTGTCGATATACCCAACGAAACGTCCTTTTCTAGCTTACTAGCTCCCGAGCTAGCTGAAACAGTCAGGGGGCAAGGGAACAACCTCTGTCGATATACCTCCACTGTACTCGTCTCGCTAGGCCCTAGCTCACCGCGAGCTTAGGGGAAACGAACGGAGAACAGGGAACGGCCGAAACTGCTGTATTCTTCGAAACGTTACGCTAGTCCCCTGAACGGCCGAAAGTCTGACTTCCGGAACAGGGGCCCCACGTGTGGGGCGACTAGCAGACCTTGTGGAGAATAACCGCACTTCTCTCCGGGGATATACGACGCACTGTCTCCCCTAAAGGTCTTTACGGATTCGTCCGTCTATGGAGTCATAAACGAAATGCACTGCTTTTTTTTTTTCTTTTTTTTTTGACAAAGAAATATTATTATTAGATAACTGTACAACAGAAATAATAATAATAACTCAGGAAAGCCGACTCGGCTAAAAGGGGATTGCACTCGATCCCAAAGGGAGAACCCATGATGCCTACCCGGCACTGGGCTAGTCCCGCGGTGCCGACCTGGCCCGCCGCACACGGTGTCAGACAAAGGCTGAAAAGCCTGCTACGCCACGTGAAAGAAAAACGAAAGCAAAATGACTCCAAAATGACTCCAATGAGAACTACTTAACTCAAACCAAACTCTACAGTATTTTACACAACTCACTTAGTTGATAAATTCTATAAAACAGAAACTCTTAAAGCGAAAATCGTACAAAAACTCGTCAAAAGGCGAGAGCAAAATTGTTTGCTTCTGCACCATGCCGTCGCTAGAAAAAAAGAGGAAGCATAATGGTGGATTCATGACGTAGCATAATGGGTAGGCCCCGAGAGGGCGCTCGTTGGTTGATTAAATCTTTTAGCGTTTGAGCCTGTCGGCTGAATAAATATGCATATGTAGTAGCTATTTGGGTAAGTGAATGAAGTAGACTGGACGCTTCGCACAAAAAGACTGGTCCACAAACAACAACTTTTGCAACCCACCATTTCACCTGCTGCCGCAGGTACTAAATGTCATCGAAGCGACTCGAGCATGGGCAACAATAATTGCACCGCACTGGCCAGCACAGTCGTGGTTTCAACGCCTTACAAGCACGTTAGTTTGTCCTCCGCTAAAAGTTCCAAAGTGCAACATATTCATTCCAAATTGCGGACAACCAGAACCCTGGACAGTGTATGCCGGGCGCGTATGTGGAGGCAATCACTAAGTGCACAACGGTGGTCAAAACGAGCCACTCTACAACTTCCTCTATGTCTAGCCCCGACAACTCTTGCTGCTTACAACAGGTCGATTCGGAAGCTCCACTGTTTTTGCCACGACAGGAAATTGGATTTCCCTCCCATGCAGCCAGATATCATAGCTGATTTTCTGTGTTCAATTGCCGACAATTCTGATACGCCTAGGTCACAACTAATAATTGCCCAAGCTGCCTTTGGACATATGTATCATGCATACGGTTTGCACAACCCTCTGGAATTTGTTCCAATCCAACTGCTAATCACAGCACTCGTCAAATCTGGCACACAGAAACCAATGACTAAATCCAGAGTGATTCCGGTTGAGCCATTCTCTGACTTATTTTGTCACTGGCAGGACAGTGAATCACTCAGTATCAAGCAGCTGCGTTTGAAAACTATTACTTTAATGGCTCTTACTCTTATGCTCTGACCATCGGACAGTTTGATACAAACACACTTGGTACATCTTATATTTTATTATTATTATATTTTCAACTGATAATGTAATATTTACTGATACAGGTGTGGATGAGATTGTGTTCCACGGTATTAAGAATGACACAGCTCGTTTAGGGTTTCAGGTTCTAATGCAACCGGTAAATAATACTAAATTAAATCCGGTGCAAGCTCTCAGTGATTACATTGTACGGACCCAATTGGTTCGACCCAAGGGAAACCCAGTATTTTTGTCATTATTGCCCCCACATGGTCCCATCAGTGCGTCTACTGTTTCAAGCATCCTAAATGAAGCCATTCAATTGGCTGGCCTAGCAAATTTGGGATTTTCCGTCAAAAGTTTTAGGCCCACTGGTGCAACAGCTGCAATAGATCTAGGTCATGATCCAGAAATTACTATGCATCAGGGTCGCTGAAAAACAAGATCTGTGTTTTTATCACTAGCGTCAATGTCTGTAGCTATTATGGGGTATGTTTCTTGAGTACCGGTACATGTACATGTATGTAGGTAGTACTGTTAATTTTCCTCTCTATTATGGCACATCCAATTAAAATGTTTGTATTTAACATTGTTTAATTGTCCAACTTATTGTTGTTGGTGTTGGCTATAATGGAGGTTTACAGAAATTGTAGTTTGCCAACACCCCAACACAGTAACAGCACCACCAAGCGCATTAAATGATGACCTGGATTACCATCCAGGTCAAAGGTCATCTTTGCCAGTTGAAAGTTTGTACTTGTTTATTGATTGATATGTGATTATTGTTGGCAGTGGCGAGACTGGGAAAGATAAGGCACATCCAATTAAAAATGTTTGTATTTAACATTGTTTAATTGTCCAACTTAACGTTGTTGGTGTTGGCTATAACGGAGGTTTACAGAAAGTATGGCTTTGTGCCCTGCTCGAACGGTTCTTACTGGCTCCCTTCATGTTGACCCCGATAGCCATGGGCGGCAAGACAGTCTGATCACTCTGGCCCACTGCAACTCTTGTGGGGATGCCCACACCCGGTTCGGTCGTCAGGGTTGATCCTGCATTTCAGGGGAAAACTTCTCCGGGCAGGTTCATAGTCTGGGTTAGGTCCCTGGGAGGAGAACTTCTCCCTAGACTCACCCACTGAGGGAGCTGTAGTACCCATGGTTAGCACCGATTCCACGTTACGGGTCAATGAACTCCAAGACGATATTTTTTTATCAACGAATGTTATCTTGTCGCTTAAAGAAATTTGGGGTTAAAACTCATGTTTACAACGACGTGAAAAAATAATCAAACTCAAGAAGACTGAAGATACTCTACATTTGTTCTAAACTACGAACAAATCTTAGACAAATGAAGAACTTAATGAATAATTGTATAACTTTTACACTAGTTTGTAAACAACCCCCCAAAACCCAAATAATCAGCATCATCATGTGTTATACAAATAATGAATGTTTATGAGTGCAATGGCGAGTATATTTTCATGAGTTGAAAGATTGAATGTTCCATTCAACGAGGCAAAGCCGAGTTGAATGGAATGGTGAATGGAACAAAAAATGCACGGTTATGATGTAGGCCGTGCAATGCTTCAATTAATGAACGTCGCGTGACCTACCATCCTTCAATCAAATGACAAGGATTTACTTGGGTGTTATATAAAGGTCAATAATTAAAAGCCTGGAAAAGTCCTCTGTTCTGCTGCACTACCTGACTATTGGCCGAAAGGGGACGCCAACAATCAGAACAGCTGGCTGGTTTGCCAGACTTTTCATAGTAAGGTTGATTTATTCTGTATTGAAATCAGATTTAGCTAGAAAAAGCAAGTTCTTAAGAGCAGAGACAAATACACTGAATGACATTACCTGAATGGCAAGTGTGGTTTATGGTACCCCACTGCCATAAAAAATGGAGTGTGTGGAGCTGGATTGATAAATGATGGCTTGACATGGTGGCTCAGCTTCTTCCCTCCTTTTGAAGACAAACTTTTCAGACTAGAAATGGCATATTCAGTACTTTGAATGTCCGGAAGAGTTCCCTCAGGCACTTGGGTGACATTAACAGGACACATGGTGTAGTAGTGGAGATGACCATCTGCTCCAGGACACACCTGATTTACAGCACAATGTGTTTAAAACCCTATGAGTTTGTGGATTTTCAGGTAAATTAATTGTCTGCACACCACAGCATAGTTTTGGTTGCATGACATCCTTAGCGGTGAGATGTATCAGCATTCATGGGTTATTGAACTTAGCAGTGGTTCACAGGGTGACCGTAAGGTTATGGCCAAATTCTGCTAAATCCACTTTAAAAATCTGTCAGATTCATCAAAAATCTGCCAAATTCCACAGAATTACCCGAAATACACTATAAACACTTAAAATCACATGCAAATTTTGTAGTGTTGCCTTAATTAAGGTTCAAATTACATTATAAACAATCTACATAATATGTTATGAAATTGCATAAATTTCAACCAAAACGCAGAAGTCCGGTTCCCAGTGAACCTCAGCACCTATAGACCAGCCAACCTGTCCCACTATGAAAGGGTTTGTTTGAAAATGTTTGAAGCTTTTGTAAACAAATATACTTTTTTTCAAATTTGCTATGATTTTCTGTCAAACAACCATTTTTGCAGAAGTCTGACAGAAATCTGCCCCAAAAACCCATTCTGTCAAATTTTCTATCAAACTAGTTATTTAACAAAAAATATGTCAAAGTTAGCCGAAAATCGGCTAAAATGGTCAACATAGTGGTTCACCAAAGTGGGGTACCTACAAAAAAAGTTTATACACGCCAAGAAGCCACGCCGCAAAGGACGTCTTGGGTGCATTTGCACGCGTGCATGACGCAGCTTGTCTGGTTTCTGTATGTACTGCAGTTTCCAAGCCAAACGTGTACAGCTTGTAAGGCTGTAGCTTTGCTGCATCTAAAGTGCTCGTCGTCAATTGAACGTGAATGGCCATGATCGACCAATCCTTACAGACAACTGGTCACTTGGTGCCTAGTGCTATGCATGCCAATGCATTTGCACATGTACCGGTATGTTGCATCACCTGATTAACGGTTTTCAGAACAGCTTGTTTGTTTCCACCAGTGCACATGCGCTGTTATTTTGCATAAGATGTTTAAAACAGGGGTCCAAAAATGAACATCGTCTGAGGAACAAATTATGCATTTTTTTTTTCAAAGAATGGACCCTGAGAGTTTGACTCAGAGCCAACATTTCTTCAAGTTTTTTACAGGTGCATTTTCATTTACACCGTCAGTATGGAGGCCCATTTGTGCAAGGTGTAAAAATAACAGCGTTGCTGTTGAAACCCCTCAGCCAGAGTCAAGTTATCATCCGGAAACCATTAACCTTTAACTCAACATGGTGACCTTGACATTTGACCTTTGACCCCAGAACCAATCCCAACATGCCTGTACCAATCGGCAACCCCCTACCCAAGTCAGACACCAAAATTTAATTTCTAACTCAAGTTATCATCCAGAAACCATTCACCTTGAACTCACCACGGTGACCTTGACCTTTGACCTTTTGACCCCCAAACCAATCCCAACTTGCCTACTCCCAAGGGCAACCCCCTACCAAAGTTAGACACCAAAATCTCATTTCTAATTCAAGTTATCATCCGGAAACCATTTACCTTTAACTCACATCGGTGACCTTGACCTTTGACCTATTGACCCCAAATCCAATCCAAACTTGCCTGTACCCAAGGGCAGTCCCCTACCATACTTAGACACCAAAATCTCATTTCTAACTCAAGTTATCATCCAGAAACCATTTACCTTTACCTTTAACTCACCACGATGACCTTTGACCTTTTGACCCCAAAACAATCCCAACTTGCCAACACCCAAGGGCAACCCCCTACCAAAGTTACAACCCAAACAACATTTCTAACTCAAGTTATCATCCAGAAACTAAGCTGCCGTACTAAAATAACTTACGTGTAATACTAAAAAAACCGAAATAACACAATTGTATTGCAACATAACGCAGTAGATTGCAAAATAACACAATATATACACATGTAGGCCTACATGTACATTTGTGAAATGCTTTTGTGTACATACAAACTTCCGTGGATTTGCAGTTCGGCCCTAATTGAACGCAGTAAATCATCCATTTGGTAATTGGTATCTGGCTTTAAAGTGTAGGCAAGCACTTGTATCAAACTGCTTGAGTACCAGTCCTTCAGGTCTTGTATGTCCCTCACCAGAGTGTTATGGTCAGCCCTTTGGTTCTTGGGGGGGGGGGGGGGGCCGCCCTGGAGGTGCCTGAGGCTGTGAGACCTGTGTGCCAGTGTGCATTGTCACCAAGTGTGCGGTGTGGCTCAACTCGACCACACTCTATGACTTGACTCGACCTTCTTGGCTTAATAACTTGACTCGACTTGAGTTCCTGCCTTAAAATGACTTGACTCAAGTCACAAAATTCAGTGACTCGTTACAACTCTGACTGTATAATTATGTCTTGTTTTATTGGCTAAATAAAAGGGGAAAAAGGGACACACACATACTTGTAGTAAGGAAAACAGGTTGCAGACAGTTTGCATCAGGGGACAAAGCCCAGCTTTGTAAACTGTTTTGACAGTGTACAAACAATATACCGTTTGTTTAAATCTGGACAATAAGTCTCCATTAGTTTTCTTCCCAAAGCTGCACTGCATAAAATTAGAACTTCAAATGTTCATCCCGGATCCAGAGGTATACAACTAGAAAACACATCAAATCCCTTCATTTTCAAGAAAGTCTTATACTTTTTATACAATGTTTTTTTTTTGCATCAATTTGAGGCTTATCAGTACTCACCTTTAATTTGCTGTTCCTCTTTGTTGATGGCCAGTAGCAAGGGATAGACCAGCTCAAAGGATAGTCATCAGTAAAGTTTGAACATGGACCTAATAACACAACGTAGACAACTGTCATTTCAAACTGTGTAACTGTTTTGGCTCTTTCGTCAAGTTGCACTTTGACGGCTGAAAATGAAAAGCATTTTTAGCTGTTGCGGCAAATCAGCTGAAACAGCTCTTGCAATAGTGTAAATGTGTGCTGGCGAGTGGGGGGATGGGGGATGACCATAATCCACAAATTGCCTGGTCGTGAAAATTCGAGAAATGGCGCTTACATCAAAACGGCGCATTTAAAAAGTTGTGTAGTTTGTTTCTCAACTTTTCAGAGCTATTTAACACATTTTGGTTACTGGGATGTTTGCAAAATACCTCAAAATTCACAATTTTTTGTTCCATCACGACAAAGTTTTTTTGGGGGAGGGGATGATTCAATAGCCCATCCCCCTGGTCTAAAAAGGGGGGGGGGGATATAGACCCCCATCCACCCCGAGATTCACCCTGAGCTCTTGTTTTTGTTAATGTTTTTGGCCTTTCCCCAAAGTTAGGCCAATCTTTGGTCACTGGGTGACATAAAATTGGGCCTGTCTGATTTTTGAAGCTTTACCCCTTGTTAACTACATCTGACAATTATATTACTTTCACTGATTCAATCAGGTTGAATCAGTGTACATCAGAGTGCAGTTTCCACTTTCACAAATTGTGTCAAAATATTAGGTGTGGTCATCAAAGTTTGGTCACGTGTGAAGGTATGAAGATTATCACCATATCTCTCAAACCCAACATTCTAAATTCAATTCAATGTGTGATTGCATCAAATAATTGTACAAACTACATGTGAAAACAGTGTTGTAGGTCTCGAGACCTGGTCTCGGTCTCGAGACTGTCTCGAGACCTTTTTTTGCTGTCTCGGTCTCGGTCTTGGTCTTGTCCTATCAAAGTCTCGGTCTCGGGAGGGCTGGTCTCGGTCTCGAAAGCTCTGGTCTCGGTCTCCGTCTCGGATGCCAAAGTCTCGGGTTTTACCCCGAGACCTGTCAAGACCACAACAAAATGCACCATTTACGTATGGCTTTATTTATTTGCATACTGAAATGAGTACGAGTCTAGTCTTTATTCCAAACATAAAAGAATTTGTTAAGTGTACAAAATGTAAGTCTCATGCTGAAGAATGAGATTGAAGCTGGAATAAAGACCAGTCAATTCAGCTTGTCAATTCGGTACCCGTGCACAGTTACGTTGCCAACGTATTTCACTGGTACACATTGTACTGTCCTAGACGTGATCACCAGCGCTTGCACGTGCAAATGTTACACGTTCTTGTGCTTCATTTCCGACATTTAGGGAGAATTTGCAAGACTTTACGTTCAACAATAAGCCTTCTACAAGTAAAGTTTTACCTTTGTTTGCAGCAAGTTGTACACCGACTTCACTAAACTTTGTTGGCTGCAATTAAGGCAGTAATTTAAAGGGCCTAATTTTAAAATTGGAATTCGCCTGACTGACAACATTTCAGAAGCTGTTTTTCGGGGCAAGGTCTTGCATAGTGTGTTAGTTATATTTACATTAAAAATCAATAGGGTACTGGTAGGAAACTCATCCTAAATATTTGTGAATTTTTTCAACCTGCCAATACTATATTTGGAAATGTGAGATTTCTTTTGTTTGTTTTTTCTTTATGCTTGGTCTCGGTCTCGGTCTCAAAAGTCTTGGTCTCGGAAGTCCGGTCTCGGTCTCGAAAGAGCTGGTCTCGGTCTCGAATGCCTCAGTCTCGGACATGGAGGTCTCTACTAAAACACTGGTGAAAAATCTAATTTTTCTATGGAGTGGGAAGGTGTTTTTTCCAAGCACTTGTTGTAGATTAAAATTTGAGTTTATCTTGTTGACCACTCCGTGCTCATTAGCAAAATTCTTCAAATTGGAGTGCATCATAAGTATCATTCCTTGGATATGTAACTTTCTTCACAACCGTGAGCAATGTGTCAGGTTTAACAATGGTACTTCTGATTATGTTTTTCTGAATGGAGCTTTGGAGCCGTCTCTCAAGGCACTAATTTAGGACCTGTAGGTTTCCAAATTATGATTAATGATGCCGCTCTGAGTGCTAATTCCAAATATTGGAAATATGTTGATGATCTTGCCTTTGCTGAAAATAGGAAAATCAATGGCATGACCAGTTTACAAAATGATTTGGATGAATTCACAGATTGGGCAAAACATAATCACCTGAAATTAAACCCATGTAAATGCCAGGTTCTTGAAGTGTGCTTCAGTAAATCTGCCCCAATTCATACTGAATTGTTTATCGGTTCTGAACAGCTCCAGTATGTCAACAAAGCCAAGGTTCTGGGCCTCTGGTTTCAAGCTGATCTTAAGTGGGAGGCCCAAGTTGATCACATGGTAAAACAAGCAAACGAATGCCTCATTATGTTGAGATCACTAAAACGATTTGGCTTTGATCACGAGGAACTTTTGGTTGTTTACAACAGTTATGTCAGACTTATGGTTGAGTATGCGGATGTGATATGGCATTCTACAAAAAAATAAACCGATGATCTTGACAGGATACAGAAACGAGCTTGTAGGACCATTGCATGATGGTCCTACAAGCTATGTAACTCGGATGCACTAGATAGCAAAAGAGTAGGACATTGCTTAAAGGGCTCATGAAGTGAATATTTCTTAGAAACATATTTTGTGCTTCTTTTTAATCCTCTTAAGTGTATGAAAACCATTAAATTGATATTTCTTTTTGGTTAATTTTGTTTAAAAGTGCACTTCTTTAAACATTAAAAATTGTCCATGCTTTTCCGGACAACTGAGGGCGCTGTTGTCGTGATGTCATTTCAGGGAGCACTGTTCATATTGGGCGGTTTTCTATTGAAATAGTGTAAATCCAATAAAAAATGCTCATTGAAAACAAGTTTGCTCATTGACTTACTGCTATGAACTGACACAACAAACCACTAATGAAAAGAAAGTTTACGACAGCGAAATATCCAAAATGTTGGCAACTTTTTGTGCATAAACTAAATGCAACATTGAGGTTTCTGCCTGATATGACATCACACTTTTGCTCATGAATATGGAAATTTTTGTTAGCATAAAAACCAAAAAGGCACAAAACTACCCTTGAAAATGGCAAAATGAAAATTGAAAATAAGGTTAAGAGACACAAAGGTGAATTTTAAAGGATTGCATTAAAAAAAACTACATTTCATGGGCACTTAAAAATTTGCTAATGCACTTGGCACTAATTCAAGAACAACTCAATACTTCCCCCTACGAGGCTAGCAAGTCATGGTAGGAACCTAAGGAACAGTAATCCCCCCAAAGAAGTGTGGGACGAGTCTACGAATGATACTTATGCAAATAGCTACTACATATGCATATTTATTCAGCCGACAGGCTCAAACGCTAAAAGATTTAATGAACCACCGAGCGCCCTCTCGGGGCCTACCCATTATGCCACGTCATGAATCTGCCATTATACGTCCTCTTTTTTTCTTGTGCCCTAAAGGTGACAAACCATCGTAACGTGAGCCGAGAGTGGGGAGGGGGGCAGGAAGCTATTTGGGTGAGTATCAATCGTAGACTCATCCAACACTTCTGGGGGGGGGGGGGGGGAGTCTACTTCATTCACTTACCCAAATAGCTACTACATATGCATAGAGTGGCACCGACAACTGGTGGCTGGGTAGGCAACACTCCCTTAAAACATAAATGGTTTATATACATCATGATTTAAACCATTTAGATTGAATACAAATGCCAAAAAGCATGGTGTATTACCTGCTAAGTTGGTCTCCTGGCAAAGCCAGGGAGGACCACTGTACAGGGTAGGGTTCTTAGACGAGGACTGCTGAGATGTCAGTATCGTCTTCCCTGTGTTACATGTACCTCCGGTCTGGAGTATGTCACGTAGGGAGCAGAATGTGAATGTCGAGGCCGACTTCCAGCATGCTACCTGTGAAATTTCTGAGATAGGGATCCCTAAAAAATGCCCAGGACTTCGCTATGGCACGTACGTCATGGGCCCAGACAAGACCTTGGACAGAAACATCCTTTTGGACGGCCAGTCCGAGTTAGCAAATTAGATTGCTGAGACTACCCACACGCAATGGTATCCCTTGAGTTGGGGCCATGTGGCTGTGTTGCTGTAATAAAAAAGGCTGCGTGAAACCACCCCCCAGTGGTTTAGTGCATGCCAAATCTCTCTCTCCAGTTTCTCGATGACTTTTGTAAGGATCGAGATCGGAGGGAGGGCGTAGGCGAACATATTTGTCCAGTCTATTGATAGCACATCCGAGGCCCATGCCTGAGAATGATGGGATCTCGAGCAGCACACCGGGAGTTGGGTGTTGATCGCTAAGGCAAACAGATGTGTGGGCGACCCAGGATCGAGAAGATTGTACTTGCGATCCTCTTGTTTAATTACCACTCCATGGGCATTATTTTGCCCCTGGAGAGAGCGTCTGCCATGTCGTTTTCCATATCCGGATGGCATGTAGATCGACTTTGTGTCTGATTAGCCACTGAAACATCTCCCACGTCAGGTCGCATAGCTGGGGTGATCCTGTACTGCCCTGCTTGTTGATATGTGCTACCGCCATCATGTTGTGGGTTTTGATTAGAACAGACCGGTCCACTACGTCTGCTTGAAAGTGGTGTAAGGCGTTCATTGACTACGGCCTGAAGCTCTAGAACATTGATGTGTAGGGACCAAACGTTGTCGTCCCATGTTCCTGTAGCTTGTTGAGGGGGAGGGGAGGCTCCCCAGCCCTCGTTGGAAGCGTCGGTGGAGATTATGACATGAGGATTCCCCCTTAGGGAAGCTCCATCTGCACAGAATATTCTGTTCCAATAGCCACCACCGACGGTGTGTAAAATGACTTCGTCGATCGAGACCAATAGAGAGATTGGATCTGTCTGGGGTCTGTAATGTGTCAGAAGGTGCATTTGCAAAGGACGCATCCTCAGTTTGCACCAGGGGACCAGATCCACTAAGCTGGCCATGAACCCCAGAAGTTTCAGCCAAGCTCACGCTGGAGCGA